TTCACTAGGTGGTGGTCTATTAGACAAAAACATTTAAGTCTATCAGCTATGGAGGTTGAATTCTCATGTCTGTCATTATTATGTACGGACTTGGTTTGCTATAAACAACTCCTACTTGATATGGGGATTGACATATGAGAGCCTATTGTTGTTCAATCAAGCAGTAGTTCAGATGGCATCAAATCTTGCTGTAAAAACTAGGTCAAAACACACTGATATAAGATATCTTAATGTAAGGCAAAGTGTGAATGGTAAATTAGTTTCACTGGAGTACTGCACGATTGAAGATAGCATTGCAGACCACTTTACCAAAGCCCAAGGTACTATGAAACACAAACATTATTGTGAGGAATAAGGATTAAGATTGTAAGATTTATATATTGTCCTTCCCAAAGGGGACATTGTTAGGAATATATTCTAATGGTTGGGTTGGCAATACATAAATCATGTAACAATGCTAAACCTGTTTCTTTAAATCATACTGTAAAATGTGTTTGGTTGCTGCTTTCTTCAATCGGCCATAAGAGGGAGCCAGTATGACTGTTAGCTCTGTTTGTTAGATGCTGGGCTGATCTGATCTCAGTGTTTTGGAAGCTGGCTGTTAGAAAGTGCCATGAGCTTGCAGAGTACTGGACTGTTTGTATGATTATGGACTATGTTATTTGGATTATCCCTTAACTGAAAGACATTGACTGTCTTATCTATGTATGACTTGGACTGTTTGATGGACTCTGATACCTCTATTTCCACGAAAGTAACAGCCTATTTAAACTGCAATGTGTCTGTATGCTGGTTTGTGTGTTCTCCAACACAACTCTCACAACGCTTCGCTGAATGTTCTCCCAACGGGGAGCTTACCTAACACCATAGGTTGCCTTCATGGTTCCAATCTCTTCAATTAGCAAAATTTATCAGTATCTGTTTAGTTCAATACTTTTCACTTCATAGCCGTGCTGACACATGAGAGAAATGGCATGAAACAACGATCTACCAGAGCTTTTATTATAGCCTTCCAAATCTGATGTCCATTATTCTGACTGGGCATTTTGGAAAGAGCTCTACTTTTGATACTGTATGAAAGATCTGGATGAGGAAGGCTGTTTTAGATATATTATTTATTAAACAAATTTATCTAGCTGCTCAACTCATACATAGCTGAGTCTTGGAGGCTTATATTTAAAAATGTAAAAAAATCTATCATATAATAAAATCATTTAAAAATCCTACCCCATCCCCCATTATAGCAACAACACAATTAGGTTAGCTACTCGATCAGCTCCATTTCCATTTGTAGCCCTGGTTCCACTGATATAGCCACTTTCAGGGCCTTTCGGAAAAGCAGGATGGGGGTTAATATTGTTCCCACAGGAAGGCACCACCTGTCAGACCTGCCCCAGTCTGATCTCTTAGGAAAGAAAGACCCTCAACTCCATTGGTTACGAAAAGATGTTGGTTGCAGTAAAGTCAGGCCAGAACTAAATTTCCTGTGCTCAAAAGATATAGAAAGTTTTCCCCCATTCCAGCCTTCCCCCATGACCAGTCTGTACTCTGCCAATAAGAGTCTGCCTAGGTCAGTGGGCCCAACATTTGAGGTTTGGCAGTTTGGTTGGGAGGGAGGGGAACTGGCCTGCTGCCTCACATGACCTAGTTTTGAATAGGTGACGGCCCAGTAGTGGGGCCCAACTGGGGGTTGGGGACTCCTGGGATGCTGAGATGTTTAGGGTAATTCACATCCTTTCTCAGAGTGGACCGCCTTGTGTGGTGGCATAAACTGATTCCAAGCTCTTTTGCTCTTCATCAAGCTGTCATTCCCCCACCCCTCCCAATTTCTCATCACGTACACAAACAGGTTGATTTCCCATTTGTTCCTTCCCATGAACCCTCCCTCCCTCCTAGACTTTGATGGCAGGATGCCAGCAAGGCACCAAGCCAAAGACTTGAGAAGGCCCTTTTTTTGTGGTTTCATCAGATGACAAACCCTAATTGATGGAACCTGTAACATGCCCTGCCTTCCTGTCCTGGTGGGCTAGGTAATTGCAATAGAGAGGAGGAAGCCTAAATTTAGTCAGTTTTCATTTCCATCAAGTTCCCCTGTATCATTTCTAAGTGTGCCTCCCCCAATAGGTTACTTGGATACATGTGTTTAAGGGATGACATTCTGGCTACAAATTGAAGGGAGAGGGCTGTCAAACTTAAGTTCTTGGGGGGCAGGAAAGACACACAATGCAAGGCTCAAGCTGCATACATGTGGCTATGCAAATCTAAATTCCTTCAAAACGTTTGCTTTCTTCTTCTAACGAGCTTGTATAACATGTAGGCTAAGCCATGAAAAAATGTGTAGGCTGTCAGCACAGTTGTTGAAAAAAGGCAAACAGAGTGGGGACTGTTAAATGCTTCAATTTTCTAGAAAAGGAGGGGAAGTATTTATATGTTGTATGGATTTATAACCTGCAGGATAAATTTGCTTCTCTGTTCATTCCTTCTTAAATATGCATACAGGAGGTTGTTGGCGATTACTACAGTCCCATGGTTGCATGCAAGTCTAACGTGCCACAGATCTACAGTTGGTACCACACATTGCTCATAAAGACAACTTTTATAGCTAAGGCATGGCTTAAATTGCAACAGAAAGCTGCTGCTGCATGCATAGTACAGTGCCTCCTGTAGCTATTTAATGCTCTGTATTTTTCATTTTCATTACATCAATCCACCCTGATTAGTACAAGTTCAGAAAGCATGAAAGCAATATGTTAACTATGGAGGTTCATCTGATTGTATAATCCTTTGTTCATATTATAGGTTCATGGATTGTGCAGACAAGGGACACTTGATGACTCCCAAGGGAAAGATGATTTTACCATAAAAGACCACCCATCACTTTTTTATTTACGTTTCTTTATCTTTCATCTTACCATTCTAAGACCTTTCTTAAACTCTATTCTATTGTCCTTAATTAGCTCTATTTCAGTTTCTATTTTTGTCAGCTTTACCAGGTAGACTCTATAGTAACAGAATAAAATCTCAATGTGCTTCTCCCTCCATCCCCATGTGAACCATGGAGAAGCCTGTCTAAGTTGCTTTCCCTAGTTATTTTCAGGCCACTTTTATTTGACTGTTGTCTTGGCAGCAGCTCTTCCTCCTGTCCTTCATGGCCGTTCCCCTGTCTTCTACAATTTCTGTTCTATTTTCTACTATTGTTATTATTATTATGCTATTCTGCTTTAGTTAAGTTCTGATTACCTCCATTCTTATCCCATCACCTGTAGATCCTAAATATCCTTCCCTTACACTATTTTCTTTCATTTAGACTTTCTTTCTATGCCTCCTATTCTAGTTTGCCCATTCTGTCTTAGTACTATTGATATCAGTCCATCAACCAGCTCTCCATGGATGAGGTCTCTGCTGGTTGGGGCACTGCTTTTAGTGTTTCCTATTATTAGCACTGGGGCAGCGTTTTCTAGGCCTTGTGATGCCTCAATTTGAGCCTACTTAAGCCACTACTTGATATCTCTGTATCTCTCAGCTTTTTCCTTTCATGCCAGGAATCCATCTCAACTCCCTTCTGGATGCTCTGACATTCTTCCCTGCAAGTTGCCCTTTCTTTGATCTTTGTTCACTCTGGACAGTCCCTGCTCTTGGCTTTGCCATCACACTTGGCCCTCCATCCATATGTGACCAGCTGCTGCTTTCCCCAGCAGCCCCAGTAAGTGCAGTTCTTCAACCTAGTTAAGCCACTTGCCATGCCCCAGTCCTGATCTGATTGTCAGGCCTTTCCGGATTGCCTTCTTCCAGGAATGATACCTGGCTACTTGTTCATATCCCAGGCCCAACACTAGTACAAAATCCTGACTTTGTCCACTGGGCCAGGCTGTTCAGCTGAATCTCAAGCCCACTGATTGTCCAGGTTTGGATTCACCAGCACAGCAGATCCTCCTGACAACTTGAATCATACTCTTTCCTATGCAGGACTACTTCCTCCATCTTCAGGTGCCTAGTTTGCTTGCTTTCTCCCTCCCCTCCCTCTCTGTAAGACAAGACAAAATATCCAATGATGCTAAGTGAACTTGTACCCGAGATCATGAAAAAATACCTGAGAAGCTTCTTGTTCGTCATCACTGGACTCCTCAGATGAGCTCTCTGATTCTTTTTTTGCCTCTTGTTTCTGCTGGGTGGCTGCAAAAAAGCAAACAGTGACCTCAGAGTCCTCAAAAAACTAAAAGCTGCTGTGACATAATGCGGGAACTGGGAAGATCAAGTCAAATTAAAGTTTATGTTTGTTGTCCAGTTACATAGCGTGACTCTTTAACATTTTTAACTTTGCTTATTATAAAGTTCACGAGACGGGAATTGCAGAGGTACCTTTAGCTTATGCAATGAAGGAGGTCCTTGCAGCAGTTCTATTCCTGTATCAATCACGCTGTCATGTCTTTAATGAGAACAATTACAGCAACAAATGTCAACAATGGAGAACTGAAATGTTAGTCTGTACCAGACTTGTCGATACTGGTGATTTAAATATTCAGATACATGAACTATTGTGGGACTCTATTTGAGGAATCGGTGGGCTTCTTTTGGGTGAGGAATCATGAGCTAAGACATCTGTGAATGAGCTGAGATGACAACTGCAGCTAAGGCCCAAGGATCAATAGGGAAACCGGTTTCATGGAACCTCTCTGGATCAGGAGAGGATAGAAGATCGCCCACTTGTGCTCCAGATGACTGTTCTTCACAAGAAAACCAAGACAGTGATTTCCCCCAAGTTTGAGGATTGGGAGACAAAGAGACCACCATGCTCTCAACGGCAGAGCCTTTTAAAGGGCACTGACCAAGGTTAAAATAAGACATGTCTGTATAAATCTGGGATCCCTTTATGGGCTTTTTGCTAACACAACGACTGAAATGTTAATCATTTATGTATTTGTGTATGGCTAAGGGATGGGTTAGGGAAAGAAAAGATACTTGCATATGATATTATAGGGGATGATGGATTATTAAGTTTGTACTTGTGATGAAAGATCAAAAGCTGCCTTTTTATATTCTTTTCCCCCCCTTTTTCTTTCTTTTTTCTGTACACCTTTTATTATTTTTTTTCTTCCTGAGTTTAGCTTGCATTTTCTTTTACTATTGTTTTTAAAACTTTCAATAACTTTTTTTTTTAAAAAAATGATAAACTGTTATGCCCAACTGTTTGCACCAAAAATATCCCAAGACTGGGGGAGGCTGAAGTGGAGGAACACTTCAAAGAAAGAAAGATTAATTTCAGGAGCTCAGCCACTTTTTTTTTTTAACTAAAAGCAAGTGCAGAGGTGTGATTTTCACATAAACATGTCTCAAGTGGGCAACGTTTTTCATTACCCATTGTGTGGGTAATGCCATCTTATGTGCATAACAAGCTGTGCTTCCAAATATCTACACTTCACCAGGCTTCCAAATCTCCAAGTGTTTCTGAAGAGATCCTCCTGCCACCCACTCCTGGTGGAATCTGGCTTCTCTTACCAGGCTGTGTCGGAGGCTTGGCTGTTGTCGAAGCTTCTTCTTCTTCTTCTTCACTGCTGTCTGAGGAGCTCTCAGGTACGGTGATTCCAGAGGGCTTAGCAGTCAGAGCCTGTCCCTGGCTCAGTTTAACCTTTGAGGAGGGGATTTGTTCTTTCTTCCCTGTTGCTTTTGTGGCAGATCCCTGGGGTTTGTCGGAAACAGCACTAGATGTACTTAAGTTAGCCTGTACACTCTTTCCTGAAGAAACGGCTACTTTGCCAGCCACCAGTTTAAAAAAAGGGTGAATAGGAGGCTGTAGAGGGGGAAAAAAACATCAGTTATGCATTTTAAAATGTGTATTTTCTCAGAAACAACTGACATTTGCGTCTGAAACAAAACCAATATTTGTATTTGTATTTTGTATTTATTAGGATTTATAGGCCGCCCTTCTCCCTGAGGGGACTCAGGGCGGCTTACAATCA